ACCCAAAAAACTAGAGAGACTGAAAAGGACAGTCTAGCTAAGATACAGTGGTAGCTTGGAATGGAACAGACTAAAGAAGTATGATGAATTCTGGTTATACTGGAGACTAGATTTATAGAACTGTATTACAACTCGTTCTTGGATATAAAATTTTTCTTGAATGTAACATAAGTTACATGTTATAGCTATAAATGTTACTACTTAAAGTGTGTTTAAGAACTTACAGGCTTATATTTGTTGTATGTTTGTTATTTCTGTTCATAAAAATTTTTCTAATATCCAAGTACTTTGAATACGACATCTTTAAAGACATTCATATTTAGTGTTTTTAAAGATTTTTTTTATCTTTGTTGTATTATATGTATATCTTCTGTAATTTTCATTTTGATTAAATTAAACAAGGAGGACCCTTTTAAAACACATTACCCTATTTATCCATTAGTGAAAAATCTAGAACCTGAAGTTTTAGGTGAATCCTTTCATGTTTAGTTTTTTTCACTTGAATGAACAGGAAAAGTGGTTTGCGATGTTAAAGGAGTAAAGCAAGATCTATTTGATTTCATTGCTTCGTGTATTACATATTCTTTTTTTACCCCCTTTTTTGGTTTTTAGTCAAATTGCTGCGTTCTCACGCTATCTGTGCTCAGGAGTTGCTTCTGGTGGTAAAATTGAATTCAGGGGTTCCTCCTGGAGTGGTGCCAGGGATTGAACTTGGCCACATCATATTATGGTTTTTTTTTGGAAGTGGGTGGGAGAGGTGCACACCTGGAGAGCTCAGAACTTACTCCTAGCTCTGCACTCAGGAATCACTCCTGATGGTGTTCTGGGGACCATATGGGATGCCAGGGATCAAACCTGGGTCAGGGCAAGTGCCTTACTTGCTGTACTTTCCCTCTGCCCTGCCGATTCACTCTCATATACACAGTCATCAATTTCATAGCTCAAGAAATTTTCTCAGATTGACTGACATTTTTTATTTCACTGCAAAGTGTTTCTTTCTATAAAAGTTTGCAGGGAGTTCATGAAATTCTTATAACATGGCTTTGAAAATGTTTTTCACCCTCTTGTAGCATTTTATTTTGATTACTCCAAAGATTTATACAGTGTTTTGTGTTGGAGATGAGGCGTGATAATTCACGCTATCCCATTCCCAAGTTTCCAATTTTCATTTATTTTATTTTTCCATGTTTCAGAATTTTATTATATTTTGAATTGAAAATGTGGAAAAGTGAATTCTGTTACCTAGAATTATCCGATTGTGTGATATTTTTGTACTTATCTTTTTCAGTATATATATATAATATATAGCTTTGACATTTATGGGAATACAGAAAATAAGTGTGCAAACTTAAAAAACTTACTTTAAGTAGATATGAAAAACTTTTTCTTATCGGACTGTAACAAATTTTTAAGAATATGAATAATTTTTTATCATTTTATAATAAATCTTATATATTTCATTAATCTTTCAGAGTATTTCCAGTATTTTACTATAGGAAACCTTATAATGGTAAATACTGTAGTTCTTTTCTAACTGTATTTTAATGTGTTATGAGCATAAGAAATAAGTTAAAAAGCTCAGTTTCTTATTAAAGGATTCAGCTATTGTTGATGATAGTGCAAATAATAGTCAAGAGGTTTGACTTAATATGCCTAGTGCAGTACTTAAAATGTAAAGCTACTTAATGCCTATTGAATACTATTGCCAGACCCTGTTATAAATACTTAACATTTATATTAATTATTTTTATCTCACTATAATTATAAAAGGTAATTATTATATTGACATGTTATGTTGATGGAAAAACTGAGGTTCTGAAGGATTATTTGCCTGGGCTTATACAGCTGTTGATAGTGACAAGATGCAAACCCAGGTAGTCAAACCATTCCTATTCCACCAACACAATCAAACACTTAGCTGGTTTGCCTGATAGCTTTTTAGTTCCAATTATGTTTCCAATAGTTTTTGCAGTTTAGATAATTCAGTGCATATACCTGTTTTCTGTAACATTCTTATTGGGATTTGGAGCAGTGTTCCATAGCAGACATTTAAACATATTAAAAAGACAAAACCTCCAAAAATGATAATTAGTCTAAATGTTAAAAAGTGTTGAAAAATGAGATGTAGAAAACTTTTGGTTTTTAAAATGGCAGGTAAGAGTTGTGGATTTCTTAGGTGAACATGTAGAACATACTGTGTGTTGGTGGTTACTCCTTATTGCTACTACTTTTATTACTGTTACTTTCTCTGCTTTTGCTTTACCTATTGTTGCTTTTTCTGGTATTACTTTCCCTATGGCTTGTTTCTCTGTTACTACTGCTGCTATAACCTCTTGGTGTAATCATAATTAGATAGTTCTGTAATCACTATTAGTGAAAATTAGTGACTCTTTAATTGTGTGGAACACTTTCTCCACATCTTGACCTAAAGGAGAGACTATTCAAATGTTAGTCTTTCATCCATTCTTCCTTAATAAATGAGAGACGTGAGTGATAGTCTTTCATGTCCTTTCCCTGTTTTACTTGTTGGCATGTCTTTTTTGTTTCCATCTTTCTTCCCATCCATATTCCCATTTGTGTAACATGTAAATAACTTTAATTATAGAATAGCTACATATGTATTTTCAGTTTTTTAATTTTTTTTTTTATTTTTTGGCCACATATGGCCGTGCTTGGGACTTACTTCTGGCTTTGTGCTCAGGTATCTCTCCTGACGGACTTGCAGAACTATCTGGGATGCCCAGATCAAACCCCAGTTGGCCACAAGCGAGGCAAACACCCCACCCACTATGCTACTGCTTCAGTCCTATTTTCAGCTTTTTAGATCTTACTGATGTTTTCATACAACCTCCTTATTTTTTCTAGTTTTACTGAAAATTGAGCGATAGCACAGTGGGAAGGGCATTTGCCTTGCACACGGCCGACCTGGCCGACCCAGGTTCGATTCCTCTGCCCCTCTCAGAGAGCCCGGCAAGCTATCAAAAGTATCTCGCCCACATGGCAAAGCCTGGCAAACTACCAGTGACGTATTTGATATGCCAAACACAGTAACAAGTCTCACAATGGAGACATTACTGGGCCCACTCGAGCAAATCGATGAACAACGGGAGGACAGTGACAGTGATAGGGCATTGCTAAATTGAAGGTATACAAAGTGAACTTTATTTTTTTATGATTATCTTAAAAAATGATTACCACAGTGAGATTAACAATGCCATTACTTCACATAATTACCATAAATTTTACTTTTGGTGGTGGTGAGAACATGTAACTCTCTTAAGTAATCTTAGTATACGTAGTACAGTATTGCTAACTGTAGTCACTATGTTGTTCATTAGATCCCAGAACATACTCATGACTGGACATTTATATTCTTTAAACGACATCTTATTTACCCATTCTCTAGTCCCTGGAAGTCAGTCATCATTCTACTCTATGTTTCTGTGAGTTCGGTTTTTTTAGACACACATGTGATATTATTATTTATCTTTGACTCATTTCACTTAATATAAGTTCCTCCAGTTTCATCCATGTTGCAAAAATGAAACTTTTGTATAAATACACACACATTTATTTATACATATCACATTATTTTTAACCATTCATTTGTCATTAGACATTCAGATTATTTCTGTGTCTTTAAACGTGAACCTATTAAGAGAACAATTTGACTTACACATTTCTCTAGATATCACTAAAGTGATGGTGTTTGAAATTTTCCCCTACCTCCCTATTATTTTAATTGATGTAAATAACTATTTACAACAGTTCCAAAAAATGTCTAGTTATATAACGCTATGATATTATGCACTGATTTTAATTATATGGTAATATTATTTCTATTGTAATTTAATCAAATGGAAATTGATTACCCTTAAATATGTACATTACCCTTAAATTGATTACCCTTAAATATGTACATTGGTGGTTTTTCTTTTTGGAAGGGGGTGCAGGGTGTGGGGGACACCACAACCAGTAATGCCCAGGAGTTACTCCTGGCTCTGCAGTTAGCAATTACCCTGGTGGTTCTCGGGAGACTGTATAAAATGTTGGGAATTGAACCCAAATTGTGCAAGGCAAAAGTTCTATCCACTGTACTATTGTTGTTCTGGTCCTTGATTTTTTTTTATTTGGAACTTTTATTCTGTATTCTTGTATACATCCCTTTGAACTTTTTGAAGATAATGCTGTAGGTTCTTAGCTGTCTCTGTGCACTAAAGTAGTATTTGTTTTCATTAACCTGGACCTCCCGTAACTGGAAACATCCTCACGGAACCTTTGTTCTGTAGTTAATCTCAGTCTTGTACATCTCCAGTGAGCTGAAAGGGCGTTCAATGAAGCAGAGAAGTAGGAACATAAATATAGTAAGTTTATTGAGAGACAGTAGATATTTACTTGTATTTGATAATTTTTGATCCATAATTGAAATACAAAATATGAAAATATTTTATTTTGGAAAGAAATATGTAAAGCTTATAATTTGTAGAACTATTAGTCTTAATTGACCTGTAGGGGTGTTTGTGTCTATGTATGTGTGTGTGTGTGTATGTGTTTGTGTATTTGGGAATGTGCTATAGTGTGTTAGTCTATGTGGTGATAAAAATAACATCATTTTAAATTTAAGTTTAATCTCCTTAAACATTTTGTTTGGCAGCTGGCATTCCTTTTAACATCTAATAAGTTCCAGTTGTTTCAGGTTGCACATTTGCTCCCATCATTAATAATAGATATGAAGTTTAAATTCTGAAACAGCTTGAAATGGAGGATATAATATATAATTACCAATTGATCCAAGTTAAACATAACAATTGTTTGTTGAGTACATGTTCACTAATACAAATTTTTTTACTGACAATATTATTTGATTTAGGATTTTAGAACTTGAACTGCATGGAAATAATGGATAATTTTTGTATTTACTTTTTTACAGAGAGGAAAAAGGAAAATGCATGATTGAAGAAAAGTTATTTGAGTTTTAAAAGTTGTGTTTTCTTTTCTAGGTTGCTGTAGTGAAACTAAAAAATGCAGAGAAAGTATTTGCCATGAAAATATTGAATAAATGGGAAATGCTGAAAAGAGCTGAGGTAAGATTCTAATTATTGAATATTAAAGTAATGTCTTAGAAATACTTTTAATGAACTGAAATTTAGTGAACTGATAGATTCTTAAATATTATTTGGTAAGCTTTCTCTACAAGCATGTGTTCTCCCATGAACACTCATCTCATTTGCTTATCTCCATGTTTCTTTGCTTGCTTGTTTTTTTCGCTCTGAAGGCCATGTTCTCTTATGAACACATACTTCCTTTCTTTCTCTTTGCACATCTTTCTAAGCAAGTTCATTAAAGGAGAGATCCCTTGCTTCACTGAAGTCATATATATATATATATGATATATGTTATAAACATATTGTTTGGTAATATATCTGTATAGCTATTTTTAAGTACTCAAACAGAAATCAGTTCACTAAAGTGATAAAATTATGGTAAAAATTTTAACAGTTTGAGAGTCTCAGTAACTGGAAACCAAATGGAAGCCCATGTAATATGGAGCTTATTCATTTATGTTAAGGGGCTGGTGAAATAGCTCTAGAGGCTGAGTGTATGCTTTGTATGCAGAAGGCCTGAGATCATTTTGGCTTTTCATAGCCTCCCAAGAAATACCAGGAGACACCCCAAACACAGAGTCAGGAGTAGCTACAGATAAATGTAGAATATGCCCTGAAAATCAAAAAGAAAAAAAATGAACATATATAAATAAGTTTCTTTTGTAGAAAGAAATTTTGTAATGGTTGAAGTTTGATGTAACTTCTTATGGTCATTCTATATTCATCTGTATTCTGTTCCAAGTAAAAGTAGGACTTTTAAATATATACTTGGCATTGTTTGTTAACCTAACACAGTAAAGGCTGGAGAGATAGCAAAGTGGGTACTTCCCTTGCATGTGGCCAGTGCAGGTTTGATCCTCAGGACTTCGTATGGTGCCCTCAGCCCCATCAGGATTGATCCCTGAGCGCAGAGCCAGGAGTAAACCCTGAGCACAGCCGGGCATGACCCCAATACCAAAAAAATAAAAACCAAAAACCAAACAAAAAATACCCAGTGAATTGAATACAGTACAATTTGTTTCATTTTATATTACTAAGGAATTGAATTAAAATCTGGTATTACGGAAAATGTTATCAGTTTTATGTTGGTACTGGCTTTGAAGAAGAGCAATGCTAAAATTATCTAACAGCAATGCTAAAATTATCACCCTTGGAGAGCTGGAGAAATAATGCTAAAATTATGTCACAGGCAGCTTAACAGGGGTTTAGGTGCTTGCCTTGTATGCAGCTGACCCTAGTTCAATCCCTGGTACTTCACTTTGGCCCCCAAGTAGTGCCAAGGGTGATCCCTGAGCACAAAGCCAGAAGTAGCTCCTGAGTATCACTGGATGTGTTAGGCTTTCTGCTTTTTCCCCTTGCCCAAATCTACCTTGGTATGCTATGGTCAGAACTTACATTACACATATATTTGGGGGAATGTTCCAGAGGTCCTCTGCTGTGTTGTATCACAGTGATGGTAGTCAAGTCTTTCTCTATTACCAGAGGTAATTACTATGTTATAATACTATTTTTAAAAAAGTACCTTGAGGATCAGAGGTGGTAGGTGCTTGCCTTGCAATGCTGCCAACTCTGGTTGGACCCGGGATATCATGTGTTCCCCTGAGTACCACTAGGGTTCACTCCTCTGGGGGAGGCCCAATAACCTCCCCTACACTCCCCCCCAAAGGTGGTTTGAATTTTTTGTTACTCTGGCATATGTTCGAGTGCCCTTATCATCAATACATTTAGTTTTAAAAACCGAATAACTTTACTCTTATTGGTTGAAATTTTCCAGGTAGTTAACACTGAGATTAAGTTTAGTGTGTGCTGTATATCTATTTATATATTAGGAAGTGATTTTGATTTGTCAGGGAGAAGTTAGGATATCTCAAAGGTCCAGTTGACCCAAGAGGGAGTAATGGAGCAAAAATGTTTCAGATGTTGTTACACATCTGCCTTGATTAGTCATTGGGCTACATTTAGAAGGACATGAACGGTGGGCTTTTTGAAGCTGCAGCAGGTGCTAAAGGGGCTGACAATGCCAGACATGTAGAACAACAAATCCTGTTGAGAAACATTAAATTATCATGTCCTAATTGTTTCACAGAAACCATAATTGTAGTCAGTTTAGTATTTGGGGGTTAGAATTTTTAAAAAAATAGTTAAAGTTATGCCTATGTTTTCATGAACTTTGGGGAGTATTGTGAAAAGGATTAACTTCCAGTACTAAGAGAAAATACCAGAATGTAAGATGAAACAAAGAATAATTGAAAATTAGATGTTATTTTGTTTAATTAAATGCATCAATAGATTCTGTTTCTGTAGCAGGATGGAATGAATGTACTTTTTCCTATCCTTACATTTAAGGTTAAAGATTCTGGACATTATTTGAAAACAAGCATAACTAAAGTATAAAGCAGGGAGAAGAAACAGGGCAGTTGGGTATCTCAGATCTGTAGAATAATACAAATTCTGAGAAGTCAGTATTTCTCTGATTAAAAAAAGAGCAGATGATGCAAAGAAAATTGAAAACCAGTATACTCCATGAAGTGAGATAAAATGTACTTAATAAAATACTAGCAGTTAAAACTTAGCAAAGTTTAAGAGGATTATAGTACCATAACTTAATATCAGGTAATATCAGGTGGCTCAATATTTAAAGGAATTTCCTCCAACTGTTTTGAAATTCTTATTTTTTAGGAAAAAATTCTTTTAATGTCATTTTTGAAAAAAAGACATTAGGACAAAATACTTTTGTGGAATTGAACACCCAGTAAAGAAAAAACTATATGAAGAAACATTGACGGCACCTTTGAAATCAATATTGTGGGGTATTTTGCCTATATTTTCTATCGAGTATTTTATAGAGTTGATTGTAACTCATTTTATGTTAGCTTTTAGGTCTGATGTGAGATAGTGGTTCGGTTTTATTTTTTTGCATTTGGCTAACCATTTTCCTCAACTCCACTTGAAGAGACTTCTCTATTAGTATCTGGTTCCCCTTTGTCATAAATTATTGTTTATCTCTGTTTTATTTTCTGGATTCTCAGTTTTATTCTACTGATCTGAGAGTCTGCTATTATTCCAGTAGCACACTGTTTTGATTAATATAGCTTTATAGCTTAGGTTGAAGCCAGGCAATATGATCCCTTCTATCTTCTTTTTTTCATGATTGTTTTGGTTATTCAGAGAATTTTAAAGGGCAGACAAATTTAGCAGTAATTGTTCTAAGAATTTTCTGAGGGATTATTTTAAGTCTTTGTAGTACTTTGGGTAGGATTGATTAATGTCATTTTAATGTTAATGCTCCAATTCTGAACATGGAATATTTTTCCATTGTAGTTTTCAGTAAATAAATCTTCTGCTTCTTTTAAGTTGATTCTTAAAAGAATTTTATGTTGTGTGTGTGTGTTTTGTACCACACCTGGTTAAGGACTCCTGGCTCTGTGCTCAGCAGGTACTCCGAGCAGGACTCTAGAGGTCATATGTAGTGTTGGATTTGAACAGGGTTGACCAAATCAAACACTTTACTTATTGTTCTATTGCTCTGATCCTGCAATATATTTTTGTTTAATGATATTGTAGCCTGCCTCTTTACTAGATAGGTTTATTGTTTTTGGAACTTTTGGCGTCCGAACTCGCAAAGCAGTGCAGAGATGCGATCAAGGAAGAACTCAAAGAGAGAAGAGCAGAAGTGCTGGTAGACGCAGCAGAAGCTGGGAAAAGTATTCGTAACGCTCGCCTGTCCTTCGCCAACTGCAAGACCAAGATGACTGCCCTCTGATGTCCTTATGGATCTATCACATCTTCCAGAAGGGCAATGGAGAAGATTATCCATGACTTCTACTCAAATCTCTTCGATAGCCATGTCCACCTGCCGACATACCAAATTCCACAGAATAGATATGTCGTTCTCAATGTTCTCCCTTCCGAAATCCGACATGCCATTTTGTCAGTAAAGAAACGAACAGCACCCGGCCCAGACAAGGTCAGACCTGAACACCTGAAGAACCTGCCGTCAGTACTCATCAATACACTGGCTCGGCTATTCACATGCTACCTGTCTGATTGCAAACTTCCGTCCCAAAGGAAAACCAGCAGGACTGTACTACTGTACAAGAAGGGAGACATCCACAACATTGGCAACTATTGCCTGATCTGCCTGTTGTCTGTCATCTACAACTTGTTCACTCGAGTCATCCTGAATAGGATTGGCAGAACACTAGATGAAGGACAACCATGCGAGCAAGCCGGGTTCCACAAAGGATTCAGCACCATTGACCATATCCACACGATAACCAAGCTCATTGAGGTTTCTCGCGAGTTCAAGATGCCGCTCTGTCTAACATTCATTGATTTAAAGAAGGCCATTGAAGCCCTAGCCAATCAGGGCATTCAAACTCATCAGGATCCTCCATGAGCTGTATTACGGATTCATTACCAGATCTCACCATTCTACCACGAAGTTATCATCTATGTGAAGAGAGGGGTTCGGCAGGATGATAACATTTCACCGAAACTCTTCAGTGCCACCCTCGAGAACATCATGCGACGACTGGAATGGGAAGGAATGGGAGTGAAGATAATGGTCAGCAACTACACCACCTCCGCTTTGCTGATGACATCATTCTAATAACACCAAATATTAGCCAAGCAGCACAAATGCTGGCCAACTTCGACCGTGAGTGTGGAAAGGTCAGACTACAGCTGAATCTTACAAAGACAATGTTTATGAGAAACAGCCTCGTTCCTGACACTCCATTTGCTCTCAATGGAATGACCATCTCCGAATGCAACAGTTATGTGTACCTAGGTCGAGAAGTCAACGTGACAAATGACCTGGCACCTTAGCTGTGCAGGAGGAAGAGAGCGGCTTGGAATACCTTCAAGAGCTTCGAAGAAATAGCTAAGAGGATGAAGAACCTCCGGCTCTGGGCACATCTCTTTGATTCCACTGTTCTTCCTGTGTTAACATATGCTTCAGAGACCTAGGCCCTAGG